ACATCTACATGCCATGGAGGACAATAAATGAAATACAGTTCCAGTGTAACTCTTCCTCGAGTCTTGAGATACCTGTATTGAACTTATATTAGCTAACATTCACAAATGAAATATAATTGTCATCCTCTCAACTTCTGCTCATTTGAGGTTCTAAATAAGGAGACAAAATATGGAAGTCTACCTTTTAAAATGAAAAAAAATTAGTTTAGATTAATTATAAATAGGTTAAATATTATTAAATATAGTATGCCAATAATAATATCTAAATCTTCATTAATTCACAAGTTCTGAATTAGTATTTTCTACATTAGGAATTCTGGTTTACGTGTTGGATAAAGGTAGGGTATATCATGAAAAACCTTTGATATGCATCAACCCATATAATTCTTCACACTTTTATAGTGAATAATATCCTTTTATAAATGACCCATTTTGTTCTTGTTTTAAAAAGACCTGGAAAGATATGGTCCACTTGATACCAATCACATCAGCAAGTAATTTAGATGTTTGCTATTTGCCATTCTAAACTTCAAAAATTCTATGTAAAGCATGTTTATTATGTTTGATGAACTATATATATATATTTTTCCTTATGGGTAAATAACATTGTTTTATAACACTGTATAGATTTAGGGGAATAGATTCACACCTCCTCGGATATATGTTACTACACCATTCCCACCCTCAAAGCACCCAAAGTCCTTTACCCTGCACCATTGGGCCACCTCCCCACTTTATTCCCAAGCCAAACTTCTTTCCCTTCTAACAGCCTCAATTCTACAGTCATATTTTTAAAGTTTGTTTTGGTTTAGTTTTGACACATGAACTATGTAATTCTTGACATTTTTGACATTGCTAGTTTTTTTTACTCAGAATCATGGTGTTAGCCATATTCTGTAAAATATAATCTGCTAATATCAGATTATCACTTTTAACTTTATAATCTAAATGTGGTTAAAGTACCTGATTATATTTATATGATGTATTATTTAACATATTCTGTAAATTTGGGATAACCGAACTTTAATTCTTTCCTATTCAGCTCAACTCCCTCTCCCACCTATTATTAATATCATCCCATGACCTATAACCTTATGAATTACCCCTCCTACCCTGTCCCCATTCTCTTCTTCATTTAAGTCTTTCAAATGCCTTCATTGAAATCTCGCTTTTTCCAAATGGTACTTCATGCCTTATGAACCACCATTTCAATTTGTGGGAAGGACAATTAGCCAATTTTATGTTTCCCGATACTACTTACTAATGTTATATTATAATCATCTTTTTGAAAACTGTGCCATCTGATTAGGTCATCATTGGCTACAACAATAACTTCCACTTTCCAGAATGAATCAGCATATTTTTTCTCTGGTCTGCTGTCTTGTTATATAGATCTTGGTCAAAGCCCATATTGAGAACCCATTCAATATATCTCAGTCAGTGGTTTCTCAGAGCTCAGTAACCCTCCATTTCTATTTGAGCAGCCTAACAGTATGGCTACATCTTGGATCATCTCTTAAAAATGGAGCAATTCTTTCTGACCAATGTCTTCCCTTTTTTCTTCTGTATCTTGAATTCACCCTTTGTTTTTCACCCTTATCCTACCTTTACCTCTGTTTTCCCCACTCTGTTAGCTTTCTTCTGATGTCACTTGCACTTAGAACTTGTGGTCAGTCTAGTCTAGTATTCCTTATCACTTGAGTTTTTGCTACGCCTGTATGGTTCACCCACCTACCTTTTTCTTTCTCAACAATAATTACATGTTTTTCAGTTCTAAATTATTAAATGAAAAGTACAGCCTAGTTATTTGAACTTTTTATACTGGCATCCATTTTTCTGTTAGATTGTTTTAATTTTAAAAATAAAAGACCTTATCTTTACTCTGAAATGAAGCAGACCTTATCTTTACTCTGAAATGAAGCAAAACTTTACTGAGGAGAAAGGAGACTTTACTCCCCTGTGATGTTCCCAGAGAGGGAGATGTTCTCAATCTTTAATATAGTAGTCAAGAAACAGATCTCTCTGTTTTAAGGTAGATACCATCTCTCATTTTCAAGGATGTTTTCTCTGCAATTCCCTCTGCTCCAAAGACTTGAAACATGCAGTATTCAAAGAGTATTGTTCCCAACACAGATTTTCACACTGTTTCTTATCTTCAAGAATATTTTTTACTCACTACCTTTGTTTCTTGCATTCTAATAGGTTCTTACAGTTCTGTTTTATTGTTGTACTAAAAACTATATGGTGCAAAGTACCAATAACATACTAGTAATCCAATCAAATGTTTCCTAATCATTCTTTACTTTTGCAGAATTTAGCAAGGACTGTAATTTACTTTTACTCCTGAACTTCTCCACTGTGTATATGTGTAATCTGAATATTTTTTTGTCTATTCCCTGGCCCCTCTCTTTTTTCTTCACTCTTTGTACTTCTCCATTCTGACTATTAAACATGGATGTATTATATTTATGTTGTTTTGGTCATTGACTTCTTTTTTTTTATTTCTTTTTTTTAATAAGATTTATTTATTTATTTATTTATATACAAGCACTGGGTACAGTCAGAAGCACGGGAGGGTGAGAGAATTCACCAGAGCCAGAGGGGAAAGCAGAGCAGGCAGACTGACGAAACACACTGCTGGGGGGAGCAGCGGGCGCCGCAGGAGAGGTCTGTGCACCATGTGGGACCCTCGCCCGGTGGCCAGGGATCAAACTGGTGCTGCAGAGGCTGCAGGCAGCTTCGCAACCCAGCGCTCAACCACTGCGCCATTGGGGAGGCCCTGGTCATTGACTTCTTAATCTACATTTGTTCAAATGTCTTCTACTTTGAGTTTCAGCTGTCACCTCTGTTGGTGATTATAATTTCCTTCTTATATCCCAAAACTCACCTGCCTTCTCAATAGTTCTACTTATATGTAATAAATTTTAAGACTCAGAGTCAGTTCCACAACTGATTCTCATTTAAATGTTTTATATAGTATTAAAATGTTTATCAGTGTGGCACTCATTCTGTCAGTTCCTTAAATTCAAAATCTGGGAATGTGGTTAAGTGGAATCACTCAAATTCAAAAATCTTTTACTTGGAATTTATTATATATTATATTATATCTATCTAATCTATTATATTATTATATAATATAATATATCTAATCCATTATATAATATATCTAATCTATTATATTATTATATATATCTAATAATATAATATATTATATTATATATATCTAATCCATTTTCTACACTGTCATTGAAGAAATCACTCAGACATAAAATCACAAAGTGTGTGGGAGTTAAAGCCTAATGTTTTAGCACTTTTCTATAAGGCCTCCATGATTAGAAAGCTGCTTACCCCTCCAGTTTTAATTTGTGCTATATTTCTCACACTCACCCCCACACAAACATACACCTAGTGCTTTGACATGTGTTCACTGATCATTTATTCAAATATTTTCTGAAAATGCTTGAGTAAACTGGGCATTGTGTCAAGACTGGGGCTATAAATGCATAAGTAAGTTATGGTCTCTCTTAAGAGGGAAATAAATATGTAAATAAATGCGTAGAGTACAATTAGTAATACAAGGATATAGGATACCTAAGTTACTTAAGATAACAATATAAAGGACTGTGCACTCAAATAAAGTCTTGAATGTTGAGATTAAAGAGTTGTAAGTAATTTAGAGTAACAAGATCATTGGATTAGGAATAAAAGGATATAATGATGGGAATGTGGAGCTAGATAATAAAAATCTTTTATATATCAAAGGAGTGTGCCCTTTACCTAGATAGTTTATCAGACTTACTTTATAAAAAGAAATTGCTCCATCATAATTTTTTCAGACAAGAATTATTGATAGTTGATAAAACTAGTGAGTGAAAGAACGGTAAGATATTTACATATTCTCTTAACTCTCCAATGATAACTTACAACAGGAAAAAATAGGAAGTTAGTGATGAAATCTGGCAAATACTTCCTTAACAACTGATCACTGTAAACATCGCGGTAATGGGACAAATTAATCTCAAGACTGTGAAGAAAGGAAGTTTATTAAGTATGACCTATCCTTTGTGTTCATTTTCTTTGTGCTCATTTTTCAGCCCCTTTGTTCCTTTTTGCTATTTCATTCCATCTGAGGGGAAAACAGTATTTGTAAAACAGTGAAGTATATTCATATTTAAGTAAGCTCCATTTTAGGATAAAACAAGGATAATATAATGAACTGTATTATAGATGAAAAGCCATCTAACATAATGTCAGGCTCTTAATAAAAGTTCAAATAAGTGCCCTGGTGGCGCAGCGGTTAAGCGCTGGGCTGCGAGGCTGCCTGCAGCCTCTGCAGTGCCGGTTCGTTCCTCGGCTGCCAGCGAGGGTCCCACAAAAAAAAAAAAAAAAAAAGTTCAAATAAGTGTTTTAACTGAACTCTGGTTAAATAAAGTCAGAAACTTAAGTTTAAGACTTTGACAAGGTTTTTGATTTATTGTTTTAAACCTTTGGAAGTTTACCTATTTTTTCTTGTTGGTAGTTAACATTTGTACTTCACTTGCTATCTATTATTATTTATAATTTTATCACTTTATAATACAAATTCAAAACAAACTTAAGAATATTATATTACATGTTTTGGGCCTCCCCGGTGGCGCACCGGTTGAGTGCTGGGTTGTGAAGCTGCCTGCGGCCTCTGCGGCGCCGGTTCAATCCCTGGCTGCTCCCTGGCCACCGGAGGAGGGTCCCACATGGCACGCAGACCTCTCCTGACCTGCCCGCTGCTCCCCTCAGCAGTGTACTTCGGTCCTTCTGCCTGCTCTGCTCCCTGCTCTGGCTCTGGTGAATTCTCTCACCCTCCCGCGCTTCTGACTGTACCCAGTGCATGTATAAACCAAACAAACAAACAAACAAATAAATAAATAAATAAGACATGCCTCTAGAAAATTAAAAAAAAAAAAAAATATGAAGAATATTATATTACATGTTTTCAAAACTTTCTTTTTATGTTCTATTTATAGGTTATATGTAAAGTCAGATGTGCCACTGAACTAGACAAACACAGGTAAGTTTCATGAGTAGCAAGATATAAAATTTTTCACAGCAGACTTCGGAAGGTAGAGTGCTTATTGGTTGAGGGTGCCTTAGCAATTTTATAGAAAATTAAATAGATTAGTAAAAAGGAAGGTGAATTACCCCATAGTTCTCCCACTTCAGCCAGTTTGCTACCTAGTGCCTTTCTATGAAGCTTTGCCACTGGCCAACTTCAGATGTGAGATGTCACTTCATGGAGTCCACAAATATTAAAGTTAGATGATGCTCTTTGGAGGCAGAATGTATAGTACAGTTTGATGAAATAAGTAATGTCTCAGAACTGATTAGCCTCAGAAATGAGAGTGCTAGGCTGGGAAATCAGGAGATGAGTTTCAGACAATTCTCATTAACTTCCCAACAACTCATTTAACCTCTCTCTGCTTTGATTTGCTAATCTACTATAATCCCCTGGATATTGGGTAATTTCAAGGTGCATTTTGGGTTTTAAACCATGTAATTATTTTTATTATTTAATCTGAGAGAATATTAAGGTCTAATCTCTTCAAGCTAAAATCATCGTGCTTTGGTATATACACTTTAAAAAGGTTGCTTATTATACATTTCTTTACATATACAAATTATTTACCATATACAAATTATTTCCAAAGGTAAACAACATTGTATGGTTTCCACCTTTGTAAGTGACCCTATAGAAAATATTAAGATGCTAATTTTTGAATCATACTATTTTGGGGTATAACACATTTGAACTGGGATGATTTTCATATAGATAGCTGTTATAGCAGCTTAATACAGATAGCCACACCTTCTCTGAAGAGTTTTTATGACATAGTCTAATTTTCTTTAGGGGGGAAGAATTGAGCATTTCATTTTCAGAGTTGTTCTGTATGCATAGTAAACATGCAACTTTATAAGAGGAAATATTGATGAGTATTTGAAACTCTACAGTTTTGTCCCTATGTTCTTCTTTATATATCAAAGCAATGTTTGCTATCAAAAGTCAGAAGATAACAAGATTGAACAATATTTATATACATTTCCCAAAATTAATATTAGTGATCAATTTTAAGTTAGATACAGTATAAAACTTTCCATGCAAATTACAAAAGCCTGTTAATACTTAGCAAGGAAAAGTCAATGAAAATATACTTAGTACTTGCAAAAATGAAAAAAGTCAGTATTACTTGAAATTGTGTTAAAATCATCCTCTATTATTTTTTCTGGTAGAGGCAACTGAATTTAGGCCCACATGAGATTATATTTAAATAAATACTTTAAAATCTAATACTGTGTTTAAATGGTTTAGGTGCTAATTTTATAACAGTGAAGATTCCCAAGTAATTCTGAGTGATTATTAAATTTGTGTTTAATGAAATTGGGGACATTTTAAAATGAAGGAATTACCATACCTAAAGTAACACACTAATTATGAATTTAATTTCTCATTAGTTTTATAAATGTCTAATAAACTCATTTTTATTCTTTCAGAATTCTACTGCATTTGGGCTTTATATTGGCAAGCCTTCTCTTTTTAGTAGTGAATTTGACTTGTGCAATGCTAGTCCATGGAGATGTCCCAGAAAATCAGTTGAAATGGACTGTGTTTGTTCGTGCATTAATTAATGATAGCCTATTTATTCTTTGTGCCATTTCTTTAGTTAGTTACATATGCAAAATAACAAAAATGTCATCAGCAAATGTCTACCTCGAGTCAAAGGTAAGTATATTTCTTAAATTTATATTTCTTAAACTTAAATTCTAACTTCAGATCTTCAACATATGAACTGTATTTTAATGGAAAGTTTTTTTAAAGTATTTTTAATATTAGGTAAATTTTTGAGCATAAAAGAATGATCACTAGCAATTAAAAGTTATTCAATATTTGGCCCTCATTAAATAATGATTTATTTAAAAAAAGCTTATACTAAGCATGTATTTTCTATGATATATATATATATATCTCCTTTGCATTAGATGCTATTAAATAAAATAAGCCAGAATTTATATGCATATATCAAAGATAATCTAATGAATAAAGCCACACTAACAATTTAAGATTTTGCCCAGTAAGGGCAGTGGTACCATATTATACCTACATATATACATTTGAGTTAGTAATATTGAGGTCATATTGATAAAATGGCATTTATTTGTATAAAGGTTTAGAAAAGTTTACTTCATGCTATAATATAAAGTCCCTGTGATATTTGAAACAGTCAGTCATGTAACTAAATTTATAAATGCCTTGCTTCTCTGTTATACTTTGGATGAGCAAACAGAAGCCAACTGCTAACTCATTAACAAGGAACATGGAAGTTTCTGGTTTTGTTGATTGACACTATGATTGAGCAGTGAATATGTTATCACAGCACATGTGTGGCATTGGATGTGGGGGTATAGGTGTGTTGATTTTGTTGATTGACACTGTGATTGAGCAGTGAATATGTTATCACAGCACATGTGTGGCATTGGATGTGGGGGTATAGGTGTGTGGATGTTGGGATGTAGGTTTATAGATAAACATACAATATACATATTGTTATCCTTAATATAATCCTAGTAAAGAACTATAATAAATGTATAATAATTCATCCTTAAAATTTGGTGATTTTAATTTTACTTTTTAAACCTAAAATAATTTCAATCAACTTCTGTTATAAAAAGTTAGTTCCTCAAATTTAAGTATTTTAGCTAACTCTGTCTTCAGTTTATGTGTTAAAAATGATACTGTAACTGTTGTAGTACATAATCTTCTGGTGGAACAACAGCATCTTCACTTAGTGTCATAACATTGCTGTAGAATTATACCTCTTGCTTGTTTAGTGATAAAGTATAAAGATGGGGTTGAATTTAAAGCTAATCTTTTCAGGATATCTAGAAATTTTCTAAATTTGGTTTTACCCTCTCTGAAATAAATAATTCTCTGACTATAATAAAGTTGCCAATCTGGTCAGTAAAGTTCATCTGATAATACCTCCAGAATTATTTTAAACATCTTCCCCTAACTATCATATGAAAAGTTTTCACTTTATTATTATTATTATTTTAAAAGTCTTAAATTTAAAAGCTGCATGGATTCAGAATTCTCCAGGAACACTACAGAGAGACATGTTCAAATACATACCAATAAAGGTAAATAAAATAGAATGTGAGATAGTAGATTTTTTGTAACCTATAGTACTGTTTTGTAGTTTTTGACCTTCCTAATTGGGCTATAAACTTATTTATTTAAAGTATATAATCTTCCTTCATGTTCTCCTTGTAAAATCATTAGGCTTATTTTTGGGTGTTTTGATTTTTTTTTTTTAAACTTCTGTAACAATGTACAGTAATGGTTATTTCTTCTATTCAATCAACATTTGTCTTTTGAGCATCTACCCCCTACACTTTCAAACTGATCTGGTTTTTCACTATTCCTAACAGTATTTTTTAAAGCTCTGACTTTCGTGTTCTGGGTTTTTTGTTTGTTTGTTTTTTCCTTTTGATTTCTCCCTCCTCTGTATATTCTGTGATAATGCTATCCTCCTTAATTTGTCTCTCAACTAAATCTTAACCTACCCTATTTCTAACTGACACACAGCATCCTGGCCATCTCTATATCCTTAGGCTATTTTATCTTTCAGGACTGCCTTCCTCCATCCCAGTGCTCCTTGTACCTGTTTGTCCTTATCTTACTAAGTTTAAAGACATAATTGCTATTCCCTTTTTTGTGGATATAATTTGATCTCTCCTTTTCCATCTCCAAAATGAAATTCAGAAATAACTATCTGAATTCTCTTTAAATTATATTTGTCCTTTCAAGACACTTCTCAGTATGTAGGATTTGTGTGCGCATGCACCTTGTTCAGTTTTTCTAACTAAGCTCTTAGCGCTTAGAAGGAAGGATCTACTATTGTTTATATCTCACTTGGTGTCTCATACTATGAGGCTCAATTAATTTTATTTGGATGATGACCTTCAGATTTTTATTTCTGTCCAGTTTGGCCCTCACTGCCTTTTGCATATTTTTACTAGGCTAAATACACCTCATTCTCTTCCTACCAACAGCATATATCTCTACGTATCACTCTAATTTTGTCATTGTCATCTTTCTTCATTTTCAGACAAATTTAGAATATTATGACTGTTTCTTCATTCCTTGTTTCCCAATTCTAACTCTTGTCAACTATTTCATTTAAAATTTTTCTTCCATCAATTTTTCTCTATTTGAGCAACTTAACAGGAAAATGCACATAGCTACTGTGTCTACTATGCTGGAGGCACTGTGCTAATTGCTATTCACATTACCTCATAACAATTCTATGAGGTGATCTTAATCCTATTTTGCAAACTAAATCCAAAAACGTGGGGATGTCGAGGAGCTTAAAAGGCAGGGGCAGTGTGGCTTTTTTAAGATTCTGTATGAACTGGATTACCTAGGTTTCTGACCTTACCTCCTATGTATTGCTCTTCACTTTTCTGTTCTAGCTACATGACGCCCCTTCTGACCCCACCCAGTTCGTCATCACAAAACATATACCATGTTCCTTCCAGCCTTATAGCTTTTGTGCGCCTAAGTTGTTATAGATATGCTTGTGATGGCTTCTTTGCATTCAGACATCACTTTCTTTTTTTTTTTTTTTAAATAATAAATTTTATTTTTATATTCCCCCATACAATTGCAAACGCCCCATTCTGACCCCAATCCTTCCCCTCCCGCCCCCCACCCCCTCAAAAGTGTCTCTGGTTCATAGTTTTTTGTTGATTTTGATTTTCACTTTCTTATATTCATTTTCCTGGTCCCTTATTTAAGTTTTCTAGATTCCTGCTATGAGTGAGACCATCCGGTATTTTTCTTTTTCTTTTTGGCTTATTTCGCTGAGCATGATCCCTTCCAGCGCCATCCATGTTGCTGCAAATTGCATGTGTTTATCTTTTTTGAATGCTGAGTAATATTCCATGGTATATATGTACCACATCTTCTTGATCCAGTCATCTATTTTTGGGCATTTGGGTTGTTTCCAACGCTTAGCTATTGTAAACAGTGCTGCTATAAACATAGGGGTGCAGGTGCTCTTTGGAATTGATGTTTCTGTGTCCTTTGGGTAAATACCTAGGAGTGGAATTGCTGGATCATAAGGAAGCTCTATGTTTAGTAGGTCCAGAAATCTCCACACAGCTCTCCATAGTGGTTGGACCAGTTTGCACTCCCACCAACAGTGCAGAAGAGTTCCTTTTTCTCCACACCCTCGCCAACATTTGTTGTTGCTAGTTTTTTTAATATGTGCCATTCTCACTGGTGTGAGATGGTATCTCATGGTAGTTTTGATTTGCATTTCCCTGATTACAAGTGAAGGACAGACATCACTTTCTTAAAACAGCTTTTCCTAACCATCCCACTAAGGTTTTCTGCCCATTCTGATTACTATAAATATCACCTTCTTTTGTTATCTTTCTTTTCATTAATGAATAGCCAAAATTATTTGTTCATCTGTATGCATATTTATATTCTGCTTCTCCCTCCTAAAGTGTAAACTCTGAAAGCAGTTCCCTTGTCTGTCTTGTTCATTTTTCTATCCTTTTTGTCTAAAATAATGCCTGGTATGTAGTGGGTAATCAATAATTATTTGCTTAATAAATACATTCCATGATTGCATAGCCTTTGCCATATCAGCTTTGCCCTAGTAACCAAATGAGCTTTCACAACTGGGTGGTTGTGTCAAGAGCAAATTGAATGAATAAACATGCCCAAAGTCACATAGTTAAATTCAGTTACTGACCACACACAGCCTTTGCCAGTACCACTATTCTTCATAACCATGCATTGATTTTGTTTACAACACCCTGTATTTACTTATAATCTTTTAAATAGACATTTTTAAATCATTATAATTTACATATATAATTTTATTTGTATGCTTATTAATGACATAATTCCACAAACATTCTTGCCAGAATTTGTCATATAACTCTCCAAAAGAATGTTGCTATCATTATTGTGTAAGTGTTCTTCATTTTCTCTTTTCCAATAGTATTTTAGTTCAATTTTTATTTATTTTGGTTATTTTCATTCTTGATGCCTTAGAAGTTTTAAAATAAATTTATTTCATTGATATGCATATATATATATCCATGTAGAAACTTACATCTGCCTGTGTAAACTATTTCTCAAGGACTTATAGAGCAGACTCTGGGAATTTTTTCTTTTTATACTTGGCATATATGTGTTTTGTTTAAATTAAAATATGTTAGCTTTTTAAATAATGATAGCCTTCATAAGTTTTATGTGTATTTAATTAAGAATAGATATTTATTATCTTGAAATCTTTCTCAACAACTATTCATATTGCCACAATATTGTTTTTCTGTTTATTCTACAGATATAGTAAATTATTTGACTAAATTTCCTTGTATTCCTTGAACTTTCTATGTCCTATATGAGTTTAATGTCAGTGTAAATTCATAATTTCTCTGTCTTTAAACTGCAGATACATACACAAATACAACTATTGTCTTCATCATTTGTATTTTCACATAGTTTATGTAATTGGCTTATTCTTATTAAATCTAAACAAACTCTCCCATTGTCTATTTGGCAGAAGAGTGTTCTTTGGTTGTGTTGTCTTTACCTTTTTATTTGTGTACTTATAGCTGGTTTTATTTCTATCGGAATTGCTATTTTATAGGCAATTAACCACATTAAATATTTTCCCTGATTGTTAAAACTTGGCAATAGGA